TTATTGTTGGGAAAAGCAAACTTCGTATATTAAGAAAAGATGGACAAAATATAAGCCCCGCCCACCCGCCCCCTCTCAATTGTGATGAATTTTTTATTCATCGTGAGCCGAGGGGCAGAGCTTAGTTGCAAAAAATCCTCATTTCTCTACAAAAAATTACCATGTGAAATATGTTTTTAAGAGTAAAATTTTGGAGGAAAATATAGATTTTGCAATTAAACTCCGCCCCTCTGTCTGACAACGAATGAGAAATTCATCAGAATTGAGATAAGGGCGGGTGGGCGGGCCTTCTCTTTTACCGTTTTTTTAAATACACGTAGTCTTCTTTTCCCAATAAGAAACTGAAATGATGTTTAAATTGTTCTAATCGTAAATTTTTGTGGAGAAGAATGGATTTTGTTATTAAAGCTTGCCTTTACGACAGAAATATTACACAAAAAATTCAATATTCAAACCCTGGTAGGTATAACCAACACAAATTCAGATTTTGTCAATCACATTTTAGAATTTGAACATTCCTTTCACCCCATTGATAATATTAAAGTCTTACACGTTTTAAACAAAAGCATCACAGATTTTTCGAAATTCTTGAAATTTATAGATCTCGAACTAATTTGTGTTTTTCAAAAGACATTTTTATTTTTTATGACTCGACACATTTTTCTAGTGGGTACTCGATAGATGGCACTAGTTACATTTTAATTTCTAGAATATTTGGTAGATAGAGCCAATTACCTTTTTAGTTATAGAACATTCGTTAAGTGTCTTCAATTTACTAAAATGGTAAACATTTGTAGTAATCAACTTAAATCTTCCACTTTTCTTCTACAACCCCTTTAAATACGGCAAAAGTTGAACACCAAAGTTACTATCAACGGCAACTTGGCCACGGAGTTAATAAATGACAATTTTCAGCTCTAAAAGCAACGTCAGCGGAAATAGTTCCAAATCTGTCAAAAATCTATGACCAATTTTCTGCAGAGGACATAATTTTGGAAATTTTACGACTGGGGTGACCTTGGACGCCGCCAGCATTTCTTCCCAAGAAGCAGCTGAAGGTCCACAATAAGCTAAGCGCGACTAAACAATGTTTCCATTTTATCAATTGAAAAAGAGAGGAAAGTCTATTTTGATAACGTCATAGAAGATTTTGTCAAAATAAAGACCCATACGCACGTTTAATATTTGTTGTTTTATTATATGAGGGAGTGCTCAATTGAAAACCGCCTGGATGCCAAACGACGCTACGCCGCCACTGTGTATATCAGTTGCCAAAATCGGTCTTATTTTAGCAGGTACTAGCCCCGCCCACCCGCCCTCTCTTTTTTTAGAGGGTATCTTATTTGCCAAAATCATCAGTCTTATTTTGGCAGCTACTAACATTGCTTACTGAATAAAACACTACATTTTATTTTGATTTTCGATGTTGAATCCACATTTGGTTAATTATAACTTGTCTAGATCTAGGGGAGGCTCAGCATCCCCTAGCCTCCCCCAAGCTACGACCTTATGAAATATCGAGAACATATGAAAGTACCAAATTGCCCGATGGGCTCTATTATTGTACGTCTTTATGTTATCCTCGATAAGAAAAACAATTTCAAAGTGTTTATGTTTATACATCGGAAGAATGTCACGTAGAAACTATTTTCTCGAAATTTAAAAGAGTACAGTTTATAGTACTAAAAAAGAGAGCATTTCTTTCTCTTTTCAATGATATATGACTTAGTATAACAGTATTCATCTAGAAGCTTTAAAACGCTTGTGAATAAAAAAAATCCTCTTATTGTCGTGTTCTGGCTTGTCACTTCTAGACTAAAATATATAAAATATTGTAGTGTCAAAAAATGGAAAACGAAAGATTCAGCAATGCCGAAAAGTGGGATATAATCCTTATTGATGGAGAGTGTACGCGAAATAGAAGACAATCCAGAACATTATACGAAGAAAGATTTCCGGACAACCAAGTTGTATGTATTTCGCAGGATTAGCAAAAAAATTAGAACAATCTAGGTCTTTCAAAAAGAAATGCACAGTCTTTTTACGTAAAATGGCAACAGATGAAGAACATACCGCAGGTGTCTTGGGGAGGGTTAATGTCGATCCTCATATTTCCATCAAGTAAATACGCGAAGAAACAAATATTTCAAAATCCTTTAAAGGATTTGAAGAACATGAAGCATTAGTACCACCTAATTTTGAAAAAAAAGTTGGCTTTTCTAACTTGGCTAACGGAGGTACGTGAAGAGGATATCATAAGTAATATTTTATGGGCAGATGAAACTCGTGGTAATAATAATGGAATTGTGAATTGCCATAATTGCCATTATTGGGCTTCAGAAAATCCTCACTGGCTAAGAGAGGTGTGGAATAATCAATGGTCATTATTATTGTCGGGCCTAAATTTTACGAAGGAAATCTAAATGCGCAAATTTCTTGTAAACGAACTTCCTGTGTTAATGTATTTCCAGCAAGATGGTGCACCACCACATAACGCGCGATAGTAACAGATTATTTGAATTACATTTCCTCCTTGATGGATTGGCAAAAATATTGCTCCAATGTTCTGATTTTTCTTTCAAGTTGACACTTGATCTCAACCACACCCTATATAAGTAGTATACAGTGTATTCTTTTAGATTTATCAAGTAATGCCTAACTCTTGCCAAAAAATACTTAAACGAAGAGTGTTTACATGCCGCAAACACGAGGAAACTCAATTATTCGCAACGTTGTAGACTAATAATAGTTAAGCTAAAGTTACTATACAAATGAAAATATTTCGAAAAAATTACTAAAATCGCTTATATTGGATCCGTTCCAAATTTACACTCGCTGCTGCAATTGAATGATCAATGATCAAATATGTATTTGCTTTAATTCAACTGACTTGCATTATTCATCCAGTGAATTAGATTTTATTTCCATTAACTCATTACGAAATTTAGTTTTACCAGCGCTTGGGGTAAATTTGAAAATTTTGAACCTGTCTTTGATAGCATAATTAATTACAAAGCTCGAACCGAACAACAACTGCATACCGTTGTTTAAAATGTAATTAAACAATTAAATTGCGCTACTACAAAGGGAATAACTTTAATTAAAAGAATCGAAAAAGCTCTCCGTTCCAAACCCACAAAATTGTTTGAATTTAAATGGCTAATTATTGTTTTCTTATCCGGCGTCGAAACAGTAACTGCTTTTCGACTTTTTCGACTAAACTTGCAAATTAAAACACTTTCATTCTCTCTAAATTATAAATTACAACACTCGAAAATGGCGCCCTCCATTAATGTGTTAATAAAGCCTCCGAATCTCAAGAAACTGAGCTAATTCCTCGCCTCTTATTAACTTCCAAGGAGCCAACAAAGTCGAGAAAAAGTGCCGAGTTCAATTCTAGCGCAATTCAGTGACTCTAATCTAAGGCGTTCAATACAAATTCAAATAAAATTCATATTAGATTCAAACCTTTTTAAACACAATCGATTAAATTAAATTTAGTTCGGAATCGCTCCATTTCAAAAAATTCTACCGAATCTGCAAATTAAATTCAGTGTTAATCAAATCAATTCAATTCGGAAAATTATATAATAGAGAAACTTACAATTTGTTTCAAATCGGCATAATTATATCAAAAAATGCAACTAGATTCGTTGTGATCGACATTTTAATGAAATAAAAGTGCTTAAAATAGTGTTTTTTTAAATATTATTATTTTACTTTTTAATTATTTTAATTTTGGCAACGCAATAACGTGATGACAAATGTTATGTTCTATGTATCAAGATGAACATATTTATACCCACCAAACATTTGATGACGTCATCCTAAAAAATTATCCAAGAGAATGTTATTAAAATACATTTTACATGCACGCAAACGGTAGTTGTGGAAAAGTTGTGATGACTTAATTTATTGATTTTTTGTTCATACATATATTACTAATAATATGTTTTATTCTTCTTTGAACAGTATTCCATGATTTGTTCTAAGTCTTGCCGGAAAAAACGAGGTTAAGCTGCTGAATGTTTACAAAAAAATTTAGTGTCTTTTTTTCCGAATTTGACAAAGAACAACCAAGCAGGCATTTTTTTGACAGCGTAGATTGCACCAAACTGTCAATCTAACATTTGCAACATGGCATTTTACGACTTGTAGGTAATAAACACTATTGGTAAAAGTACGTACTTCATTGAAAAACTGTAAATTTCAAGTTGTTGACAGATGAAAGATTTATTATGGGTATTCTACCAGAAATATTCTAAAAATCATGAAAAATTTCCCTATTTCGTCCTAATTGAATTTTCCTTCACAAATACCACCCAAACGCCATTTCTGCATAATTAATGTACAGTGTTGTATTCAATTTAATTTAACTTCCAATAAATACACCAATTACATTCTGAACGTAAAAAATTCATAAAAATTCAATCTATTTCCGAATGAAATTCATCGAATGCCAGACCGTCGTTAGCTTCACGTCTTCATTTCTTTCCACGATTGCAGCACGTTTGATGGTCTTAGCTGTACTTCCAGGTGTCCCACGATCTACCTGTCCCTTTTCAACGGGACAATCGCGGTCGGCCACGCAAAACCCAGCCTACTACGACACGGAATGTAATACCTGCGAATTTACTTGTATTTTAAATGCTAATTCCGACACCGCCGCCTCCGCAATTTGCATCGTAATTGTTGACAATCGCAAGTCGACGTCGCCGTTCTTTTGTTTGTGCGTCGCGACGCGTCGCTGTTTTTTGCAAAGCAAATCACGACGTCGGAAATGTGCAGCGAAGACAGCGGTGGCGGTGACGTCACACGTGCTGTGCACCAGACGCCGACTGTGATCGAAGAAACATGATTAACCTAAATCGCCAAACAAACAAGGCGGCTGCGATTGAGGCGCAGGTGACACGGGCCGAAGGCGAGTTTTCAATTCACGCACGACTATTTAATAATAATAAGAGCGAGGAAAAACGAGACTGCTGTCCTTGGGTTCTTACCTTTCTTGTGTTCTAATCCGGAGGGCGATTGGGAAAAATCACTAAACCATCTCACTAGAACAATTTGCACTAGAACGTAATATTTTCGGCACTATTCTTCCGAATCGATAATGTCATAAAGAATTCACATGTTTGTTTGTTGTCAAGTTCGCTTTCTCTTGCTGTTTGCCGCTTTGTTTTGTGTTTTAGCGTTTCTGATTGGCGGAGTGCAAAACTTGTTCCCGTTCCGATGCTTTTTTGTTTATTAGCATTATCAAAGACCGGCCGATAAAAGGTAAGTTGGCGGTGACGCGTCACGTGTACACCCTCACCGAGCGTCATAAACAGACTGATATTTTGTTTGTAGTAATGTTAGGGAGAAAGAACGAACCAAGGCACGAACTACGTTCGGGGAAAGTCGGACCGTATACTCTGCGCCAACCTATATGACGGGTATGAAATTTTATGACCTCACGAGTTCAGGGCCGGGCTTCAGTTTTGTGTTCGGCGTAAAAATTTTTATGGTATAGCAGATGTTATAATAATTAAAATTTTATTTTATAATGCGAAAAATTGTATTGTAACAAAGTTCTTGTACTAACAAGTTTGTTAAGTTATTTACTTTTACAAATTGAAAAGTTGTAACTGATCGAAATCAAGTAATCTAAATTAAATTATTGTTGCCGCATTATACCTATTATTGCATGTGACGAAATTACAATAAAATCGGTTAATGGCATTGACGATAATAATACAAATTTAATATAATTAATTTGGGCACTTATTAACTCAACGTGTTTAAATGATCAGAGCACTTATGCATAATGGTCAAGTATGGAAAGACTTCGGGTTTTAATGTGGTGAAGTTTACAATATAATATAAAACAACGTCTAATGCACAATCAATTACGTCGGTACAATGCATGTTGTTAACGATGTATCGATATCAAGCTTATAACAGGTGAGGACATGCTCAATTATCTGAATCTGTTACAAGCAGAGTACGGCGGAAAATGTTGCTTTCCAGAAACGGGTTCGTGCACTTCAAAATAGTAGGTAAGTTTTGCTTGGCATTTGACAGCGCAGCTTCGGCTCTTTTTATTCAGGCTTCAGAGTATACTGGTTTCCTTTATAAAATGATACTCAGTTAGTTAATCGTACTCACAACTTACGATTTGTCTTAATTATTACTTTTGAAAATTTAAAAAAGATCTGTCAATTGTTCTAATCGCATAAGACTGTTGTATGCAAATTACTTGAGAGGTAATGGTCAGTTGTGCGCTACGGTCAGAAAGATTTCCTTATAATTTTAATTTTAAGAATTAATAACATAAACAGTTATTGTATGTTGTATTAGTTTACGTGGGGTTAGTCATTTAAGCATAAATAAGTACTAGGAAGAATAATTCATACTTTCCTAGATGCAATTGCACAACTATATTATTTATTATTCATTGGATATGTATATAGAGAACTGAAACTTTTTTCTACCGATAGGTTCATCTTGTAAAACATAGAACTCTTTAACGGAAAATTACTTTGTCTCCTCCCATTAACGGGAGAGAATATAACGGGTGTTCATTTAAAAAATTTATCAAGTTGCCATTGATTTTTCTTTCTTTTTTTTGAACCTCACTTTTTCCAATGTAATAAGTCAAGAGAGTAAATAAGACTATTTTTTTAAATTTATTTTCAAAATAGGTTTGATATTACAATAAATGTTGAAAATGTTGTCCTCTGTGTCAATGCATCGTAAAACCCTCTTCTCAAAATTTCTGAAAACATTTTTGTTCAATTCTTTGCTGTAAGTAAGAAAAATTGTGATTTTAAGATGAGGCCATAAGAAAAAATCACAAGTTGTCAAATCACAGGAACGAGGTGTCAAGTAATTTCTGTATATCGACTAATTAAGTTGTCCATTGTACAAGGAATCGGACCTCCACCTTGTTGAAAGAATCTGATCTTCTACCTGAGAAGTGTTAATCACACAATCACAGAAAAATGAGAATTCTCTTACCTTTCGAAATTTTCCTTTTCGCTGCTCGAGAGCACGGAATCACTCACTAGTACCACAGTTTCAGTGCACTATTATTTAAACGGAAGGATTGGCCGCAATGTCCGCGAAAAGAAAGTCCAACTTTAAGTTGAAAATCGGCACCCTTATTTATTTGTACACACTAAATGAGTTAAAATTTTAGAGAAAATAAAAGGAACAAATGAAAACTAAACAGCAAATTACGCGCCGAGAAGGAATGAGTCGAACACTACAAAACCCCGACCAGAGAACTGCCAAAAATTGACCAAACTACGCTTTTATCATTTCGCCAAAAGTGGAGACTCCATCCGGCGTCAAGGGGGTCTAACAAAGAAAAACCAATGGGATGCAACCCCTGTGTTGAAAAGATGTGCCTTCTCGTTCTCTCTCGAACTATACCAGCAAACTACCCAACTCGCCGTCGATTAACGATGTCATTTACATTATAAAACAAATCTATCGAACAACTCTTTAGAGTGGCCACTGGCTCGCGACTTAACTAGGATAGCCAGCTATAGATCTCAAGACCATCAAATCCTCTGTTACCTGTGACTCGGTTTCCCCCAGGTGGAATCGCAAACTTTATTCCACCTGTGGTAGGCTAGATCTATGCCTGTCGTCCATCCGAATTTCCAACCTTTTCTTTTATCGAAACATATGTAGATATTCACAAAGAGAGGGAATCGCATCCATTTTGATAACGAAAACCCTTCTCTGCCTCTGGACCCATCCATAATAATCGTTATAAAACTGTGCCGTTTTCTTGAAATTCAACAAAAAGAGCTACGCACGCTTCAGACGCAATTTACTTTCTAACGACTCCCTCGGAAAAGATTGAACATGTGGTACCATAAACTTAACCCGAGGGTCCAATGCCACATGGGGAGAGGACGGGATATAGCGAGATGGGACAAAAGGATGTATATTGATCTATTTGTTGGAATTTTTTGGGAAGGTCCGGAAGAGGTGATTTTTGAGGGGTCGTTAAAAAGAATTCGACCCATAATGGACAGCCGAGACAAATCAGCTCGCGACAAAGATTGTGACATTTGGGGAGCTCGTGCAAAGGTAGTCACGAAGGCAAGACTGGAGCGGGCAGTTGACAGCTTTTACCCATATAAATCTCCGGGAGTGGACGGTACCTATCCCGCCCTCCTGAAGAGAGGAACGGGCAGACTACGCCCTATCTTGGTGTCAATGCTTCGGAGGTGTGTGGCTTTCAGCTACATACCGAATGCATGGCGAAAAGTAAAGGTTATCTTTATACCATAGTCAGGACGATAAGATTATACTTTGGTTGAATCCTATAGACCAATTAGCTTAACATCATTCTTGCTGTAAACGCTGGAAAGATTAAGCGAAAAGGAGATTCAAAAGAGATTCGGGAGATTGTCTTAAACAAACAACCTCTACATCCAAACCAACATGCCTACATCCCAAGAAGATCCACGGATAGCCACACAGACAGTTGTAAAGCAACGAAGCACACTCATATCTTGACAGAGGTGTTCAACAAAATACCTTTGTTAAGGATGGGTTGTGACCGAATGGGCACAAAATTAATATACATATAAGAAGACATATAGAATATTAATGAATGATAATTCAGAAGGAGGAACCGACATCTATATCGATGTCGATGGTGCCAAAACTCATCGGAACCCATACATTTGTTTTACAAACAGAACTGATGGGAATAATGCTGGGAGCTGGAATCGTTGCTGAACGTGAAATCTACAACAAATCAATACGCATACTTACTGACAGCAAGTCTGCAATACTAGCCCTGGACAGCTGCATGGTTCGATCCGGGCGGAAATAGTGTAGAACTGGGTTGGATCAAAGGACACAGTGGCAACGAAGGAAACGAGAGAGCAGATGAAATGGCGAAGTGAGCCGCACCCATGCCCTTCTGGGCACTCGAACTGGCAATCACGCCTTCGGTCGCCTTCTCGAACGAACGACAAAATTTTATCTCTTACTTTCAAGGGACAAATTGCGCAAACTGGTAGGATTTCTTGCGGGAAATTACCACTTTAACAAATATCTATATACGATGGGAGTGGTAACAGAACCAATTTGTCGTGGATGCAGTGAAGAAGAGAAAACAGCTGAGTACATTCTTCGTGAGTGTCCAGCGCTAGGCTCCTACAGGAAATCCATCCTAGGAGACATCTGGCTTTGTATGGCAAAAATCAGGGAGTTCCCACCTTCTGCATTACTCCAGTACATTCAAGCAGTTGGGTGGCTTGACGAGTAGAGGAGCTGGGGACATACAATTAGAATCCAGAATCCGGTCATCAAAGAAGTTGCTTAAGAAATTTGAGTTGTAGATCATTTATCGTTCTAAAACTTTTGCTCTCTTTTCCATCCACCTTCACTTTACTCCATGTCTCTTCATATACCTCGTTTACTCCCCTTACCAGCTTCTCACTCACGTCTTTCTTCCTTCCTTAAACATTCCCACAATTTCTCCCGATCCACGGAGTTGAAGGCCGACTTCAGATCTAAAAAACGCCCTTCCCTTTTAATTTCCGCTCTACAAAGTGCTTATATTTACTTTCAAGCTTTATTCTGTATTCCGTCCCTCTCCGAAACCCGTTTTATTTTTAGCTTCTTAATCTGCCGTGGTACTTCTTCCTTCTTTATGATTATTTGTTTCGTGTTTTTCGTTTTTTTGAGATATTCTTCTTCGTTTTTTCTACATCTACTCTTCCTTTTAGCAGCTTCATAAAGTGGTCTTTTCATACTGTCATGCTAATTACTTGTTGGTTTATATACCTACTTCCAAACTTTCTCTTGCGATTTTATTTGGTTTAACCTATTTCCTTCTTCCTTTATTTCTTTGCATTTTTTCCCTATACCTATACTATAGCCTTGTGTTCAAGTCCGATGTTTGCTCTCCTTTTTCTTTTTTCCATTTACGTAGCTGTATTCTTGCTTCCTTTTTTGGTTGATTGCATTCTTTATTCCACCATTTGTTCTTCCTTCCTTTTTTAGTTACCCGCATCATTCTTTTTTGTGTAGCTCTCTCCGTGGGTTACCTGAGTTCTTTAACTTTATCATCTATACCTACTGCTGTAAACTCCATTTTTTCCATCTCTTTCCTAAAGTTTTCAACTCCTTTTTCATGCCAAATTATTCTTTGAATTTTCCTTTTTCCTATTCCCCTTAAGTTGGTTTTGTCTTCCTTTGTCCCTCCCCCCAGATTACTGGCATGTGTAAATTTGTGAACTTCCCCCCACGCTTTCAGGTTAGTTCACCCACAATAATAATAATAATATTAATGTTTATTTCCAAG